AGGAAGTGCGTTCAACCTATCACAATTGCATGAAGAGACTAGCGCAGATAACGTATAAAAGACACAATATGTAAAGCGCACTCGGATAATCTACAGGGTAGTGCTTCAGGTATTGTCCCAAGTTTGTTGATCACTTATAAATTTGGTACAGATAGCATTCACAGTAAGCCCGCTGCTTACCCTAAAAGATGCGAATAATATTTGGATCCTCACGTGAGGCTATAATAAAATCAGTTGAACGAATTCTGCACAATACCTGTAGTCTGAAGTTCTGTGCGGACTGAAGCACTACAGTGAAATGACAGCTGATCAAAATAAGCAAACACTGCTTTGATACTTTGGCCAGCTGCAGCTCACAGTTTGGTTCTCCAGCTATGCAAACAGTAGCTTTTCCAGTTACTTTGATGAATGCTGCATCATCTGGTGGTCAGTCTGCTGGCGATCCTGACAAATTTATTTGGACACTGAAATTCGGCATATAAAAATTAGTCAGCTAAAACTTTTATACTTGAATCTTGCGTAGCATTTTCAAAAGAAATTAAAAGTTGAAAAAGAAATCACCGTCTTGTGTGCTAGTGTTGTACTGGTAATAGCTGGGATAATCCGGAAATGGAGCAGTTGCGGCAATGGTTGGTGCATATACAGGATTTGTGTACATCATTGCCGGATGACAGAAGTAGTGGTAGCAGAAGTACGGTGGTGGTGGCGGCTGCGGCGGAGGCGGAGGCGGTGGCGGTAGCGTTGTCGATGGATATGTAAATACCTGAAAATTTTGTAAGAATATCCGATGAGTTAAGTGCTGAGGACAGAAGAGGTGAGGGAGAAGAGCAGCGCGCATAAGTCAAGTACTTCAATTCCACAAATCACTACACTAACTACGCACTGCTGCAAACTACGTATTTGGAATTACTTGTTTAAAAAAGAAAAGAAAAAAGTTAGGCGGCTGCCAAAAATGGACCGTGTATGCAGTGTGATGAGCAGCGGATACCAACTAGAGACATGCGGTTTGGCCTAGGCATAACTATTTCCGGTGTTTGTTTGTATCCCAATAAGAAATTAACTCCGGACTTGTATACGAAGTACATTTTAAATTCTTAGCTTCGAATGTCAACAGCACAAGTAGAAAAAAAAATCAATGAACAAGTAAACCACAAAAAAAAGAAGTGCTTATTGCTTTGAATTTTACTTTAGAATCTAGTGCAGAGGCTTTTTTGTGAGCCACGAATCTTGAAGTTTTTTATAAGCGTAATACTTAAAAGCGTAATACTTAGCGTAATACTTTTATGAAATGCTTTTTACGAGCACGAATTCCTAGATTTTTTTCTATACGCAACTCTCGAAATTTTCACGGTCATGGAGCTTTTTTACAGATTCAAATACTGAAGGTTTTCACGAGAACTGGTGTACCGCAACGTGATAAGGATAAGAAGTTAAGTATATAGCAGTTTATAACATCAGATTCACTTTAAAACACTGCGGAATGTCTACGGTATTTGGGAAATCTGCCTCGTTTATAAATCGTGGATTTTTAACGGCATTCAATGCTGGAATGCTTAGTGCGCTCGGAGCTGAAACCAACGTCAGCTTGTTTTTCTAGCCAGTTTTCGAAACAAACTTATTTGAAGGGTTCGTATCTTCACCCACGCCTCTTTTAACTGCAAGTCCTTTGTCTGAAAACTGGATTACTCGGGCTTCAAACAAGTTCTCACTTTTTTTAAGGGAATGTGGAACATTTGAAATCAAAAGTAATTCTCGACAGAAACGTCACGGTAGACTTTGAAAAAATATTTAATTATCAAAAACAATAGTTATAGCGGTTGTGCATTACGGTTTATTATAAAAGTTGGCGCAAATTTCATAGCATCATCGATGTCCTCGAAGTGTAGAACCGGAAGGGCCGTCTCTACCCCTTCTCCTTCTCTTTTCAGCACCACTCTGCTGAAAGCATTGACGAGCGAATGCAAATTATGGCCGCTGACGAAAGCTGAAGAGCGAGCGCTGACTGTGATGGAGGCGGAGCGATGAAGCGAAGGCTGAGGTTATGTATTTTGAAATAAAAATTCACTGAACATAGTTTGACAATACATCTGTTTTAAAAATAAATATTACTAGAAATCTGTAAGGTACGCCTCAGCAATCTTACAATCCTTTAGCTTAGAAAAAAAAGCACTCTAAAAACGCAATGACCGACTCCCAAAAAGTGCGTTTATTTGCAATAAATCCGTGAATAATAATGTTTACCAATCCGATGAGCAACATGCTTACCCTCGAATACCATCACTAGAGTACACTAACAGCCTTTCGGCATCTCCGATTTCTCCTCTCCAATCTATTTACTCAGATAACTAAAATGGAAAAGTGCATTTCTCCGTCCAGACGGGTCCTTAACATTCCGGAGGAAATACCAAAAAAAAAAAACGTTTTCGCACTTTTTTAATTTTGCAGAAACGATTTAGCTTTTGCAGAAGTTTACAGCGTAGATAGAAGTGTCTGGGAATTCAAAACCTAATTTGTTCCAGTTGTTGATTACAAAATGCAACAATTCTACCTTAGAAAAACAACTTTAATATTTTGAGCAGCTGCAGTTCATGCAACGACGCACTTGCCAGCTATTCAATTAGTAAATTTTCCAATTTTACTTTGATCAATGCTGGATCGTATGGCAACTAGCCTGCTTATCGGAAGGGATTACCAGCTAAAAGTTTCTTCCCACGGAATTACTTGGCAACTCTTAGCCGTTCCGAGACATCATGGGGTATGCTCCTTTAGTAGCTTA